TCAGCAACCTTTCATTTCAGCTCGAAGAACTACCTTTAGCATTGCTGACCTTTAGATGGGGTTTTTGTGGGGACTTTTTTATTGATGCTGTTGTTGCTTTCTGTTTGTTTATTTATTTATTTTTTTTTTAACAGTTAGGCTCCTCTTCCATAGGGCTGCCGTAGTTTGCTGGGGGTCTACTCCAGACTCTGGTCACCTCGGTCCCTTCCGCACCTGGAGGTGTCACCAGTGGAGACCGCAGAACAGCAAAGATGGCTGCCTGCTCCTTCCTCTGGGAGCTCCATTCCAGAAGGTCAGCGACGTTATGACGGTGGGACACCTGTATAAGGTGTCTGACGACCCCTGTTAGGGGGTCTCACCTAGTCAGGAGGCATGGGATCAGGCACCTACTTAAGGAAGCATTCTGACTGCCCCTTGGCAGAGGGGTGTGTGCTGCCCTGCGGGGAATCCCACTCGACCGGACTGCCTAGATTCCTGAGAGCCAACAGATGGAAAGACTAAGTCTGCTGATCTGTAGAGACTGTGCTGCCCTTTCCCCCAGGTGCTCTGTCCCAGGGAGATCAAAGTTCTGTCCATAAACCTCTGCTTGGAGTTGCTGAAATTCCTGCAGGGAGGCCCCGGGTCCAGGGTCCGGCCTAAAGAGGCAGTCTGGCTACGATTTGCCACGGCCGCTGTGGTGCACTGTGGGGAATTCCTCCTGGGTCCAACTGCGTAGTGTTCTCGGCTCCAGCAGGGGAAAAGCGACAGACTGGAGCTGCAGTTAAGCCTGTCGCCCCTCCCCCAGGAGCTCAGTCATCTTAGGCAGCAGTCAGCAGCAGTGATGATGGCTGCCCCTCTCCCCGGGAACTTGGTAGTCTTAGGCAGTCTCCAGCTCAGTGGCTGCTGAGAATCTGCACAGCTCTGTGCTTGGGATCCATGGCCATGATGGTATGGGCTTACAAGGGGGATTTCCTCATCCATGGGTTGCACAGATCTGCGGAAAAAGCGTGGTTTCCCGGGCGGGGTAGCACAGTCACTCACCACCTCCCTTGGCTGTGGGTGAGAGCTCCCCTTGCCCTGTGTGGCTCCCAGGAAGGCTATCACACCACCCTGTGTTCCTCACTCTCTGTAGGTCGCATCAACCCCCTAGTCATTCCCAACAAGAGAAACTGAAGACCTCAGTTGCTGGTGCTGGATTCACTCACCGTTTTTGTTCTTAGTGGGAACTTCTAACAGCAGCTGTTTTTAGTTGGCCATCTTGGCCCCTCCTGCCCACTTCCCTTTAGCATCTCTTGTAAGGCAAGTCTAGTGATGAATGCCCTCAGCTTTAATCTTTCTGGGAAAGTATCTTGCCTCCAATTTGAAGAACAGCTTTGCCAGGTAAAATATTCTTGGTTGACTTTTATTTTTTCTATCAACATTTAAAATATTTCATTCTACTCTCTCCAGGCCTACATGATTTCTGCTGAGATAGCCACTGATAGTCTTATGGGGATTCTCTTGTTTGTGATACATCACTTTTCTCTTGCTCCTTTCAAACTTTTTTCTTTGCCTTTAATTTTGATGGTTTAATTAAAACCTTTCTTAGTGGGCTGGTCTGATGGTAGCAAGTTATCTCAATTGATGGTTCACAGTCAGTTACAGATAGAACCCCTTATTCTACTGTTTTCCCCCTTCTCACTATGCACTTGGCTAGTCTTTTTTTTTTTTTTTTTTTTTTGAGATGGAGTTTCACTCTCATTGCGAAAGCTGGAGTGCAATGGCATGACCTTGGCTCACTGCAAACTCCACCTCCTGGGTTCAAGTGATTCTCCTGCCTCAGCCTCCAGAGTGACTGGGATTATAGGTACATGCCACCACACTCAGCTAATTTTTTGTATTTTTAGTAGAAACGGGGTTTCACCATGTTAGCCAGGCTGGTGTCGAATTCCTGACCTCAAGTGGTCCACCCGCCTTGGCCTCCCAAAGTGCTGGGATTACAGATGTGAGCCACCATGTCCGGCCCTGGCTAGCCTTAAAAATTGATTAATTGGCTGGGTGTGGTGGCTCACGCCTTTAATCCCAGCACTTTGGGAGGCTGAGGCAGGCAGACCACGAGGTAAAAAGATTGAGACCATCCTGGCCAACATGGTGAAACCTTGAATATACTAAAAATACAAAAATTAGCTGGGCGTGGTGGTGGGCACCTGTAGTCCCAGCTACTCGGGATGCTGAGGCAGGAGAATTGCTTGAACCTGGGAGGCAGAGGTTGCGGTGAGCTGAGATCACACCCCTGCACTCCAGCCTGGCAACAGAGCAAGACTCTGTCTAAAAAAAATTAATAAATAAAGTAAGCTTTTCCCCCTTTCTCTATCTCTTCTCCTGGGACTTCTGTGACATGTATTTTAGTTCTCTTGATGATGTCCAATAAATCCCATACACTTTCTTTACTCTTTTTCATTCTTTTTTCTTTTTTCTCCTCTGCCTAGATAATTTCAAATGGCCTGTCTTCAACTTCACAGGTACTTTCTTCAGCTTGAACAAGTTTACTCTTGATGTTCTCTATTGCATTTTCATTTTATTCATTGTATTCTTTAGCTTCAGAATTTCTGTTAATATTTTTTATGCTTTATGTCCCTTTGTTTACTTCTTGCTTTATTCATATATTTTTTATTGATTTTGTTGAGTTGTCTCTCTGTGTTCTCTTGTAGCTCACAGAGCTTCCTTAAAATAATTATTTTGAATAATTGGTCAATTTGTAGTTTTCCATCTTTGGGGTCAGTACTGGAACCATATTAGTCTCTTTTGGTGATGTCATATTTGCATGATTCTTCATGTTCTTTGTAGCCTTGCTACAAATGTCTATGCATTTAAAGGCACAAACACATCTGTTTTACAGACTGGTTTGGGCAGATAAAGACCTCCTGGGTCTTTACATTGCTGGGTCCCTGGACTGATAGACAGGTCTGTCTCCAGGATCACAGATGAGCTGGGCTTGAGCGAGGTAATTTGGCTGTTTACAAATCCACAGCTGGGTCTGTTGTTGGCAGGCCTGTTACCATAGGTACAGATAGGCATGGTTCCTATCAGAGCTTCAGGTGGACAGGACTTCCTCTGGCATATCAGTCCAGTGGGGCTAGAGCCGTGTCATAGAGCCACTTCTGTGTCTGTAGTCAAAGCCATAGGCAGCAGGCCTGTTATCAGGGTGCAGACAGGTGTGGCTCTCACTGGGTCTGTGTGTGGGAAGAACAGCCTCCAGGACTGGAGCTGAGTCACAGGGCTGCTTCAGGGTCCACAGTTGGGCCGGAAAAGCAGGCCCACTACTTTTCAGGTGGCTGTGTCTCCTATCAGATCCCTGAGTGGACAGGACTGCCTCCAGACCACAGCAGAGACTGGTACTGAGTGTCAAAGCCACTACAGGGTTCATGACCAGGACTGACTTCAGTGTCCACAGCCAAAACTGAGGTTGTTGGTCCTGCTATTAGGGACACAAGTGGGTGTTACTTGGTCACTGGTCAGGCCGGACTGAGATCAGGGATGGATCTGGGTCACAGGGCCACTTACAGATCCACAGTTGGGTTCATGGCCAGCTGGCCTGTTACTGGGGACACGAATGGGCATGGCTCCTTCTGGTTCTCTTGGAAGATGGGATGGGCTGCAGGACCACAGCAAACTAGGGCTGACACAGAGTCCTTAGGGGGAGGGGGCTGCTTCGGTCTGCAGCTGGGACCATATACAGTGAACCAGCTCATGGAGTACAGGTTTGCCTTCTCAAAGGAGCTCTTCTGGGTCTTAGACTTCTCTGGAGTTTCACAGTCTCCTACCTGGATCTCAAAGCTCTCACAAAGGCCCTTTAATCTGTGGATGGCTGCCAGATGATTCTGTAGAGGAATGCAAACTGGGGGCCACCTATTCCACGATCTTGCTGATGTTTGAAGAAATTCTTTTAACAATTCTTGCAAGGTCTAACAGCAGCAAATTAATTTTTGTTTGTCTGAGAAGGACTTTATTTCTTCTTAACTTAAAAAAAATAGACTTTATTTTTAGGGCAGTTTTAAGTTTACAGCAAAATTAAGAGTAAGGTACAGAGATTTTCCATCTATCCTCTGCACACGTGCACACTATCCCTGACCATCAACATTCTCCACCAGCATGGTACATTTGTTACAACCAATGAACCTACATTAACACATCACTGTCACTCAAAGTCCAGAGTTTACATTAGGATTTATTCTTGTTGTATATTCTATGGGTTTGGAGAAATGTATAATGACATGTATCCCTTATTACAGTGTCATGTGGAGTATTTTCTTTTTTTTTTTTTTTTTTTTGACATGGAGTCTTGCTCTGTCGCCCAGGCTAGAGTGCAATGGCATGATCTCAGCTCACTGCAACCTCTGCTATCCAGGTTGCAGCAATTCTCCTGCCTCAGCATCCCCAGTAGCTGGGATTACAGGCACGCACTACCACGCTCAGCTAATTTTTGTATTTTCAGTAGAGACGGGGATTCACCATGTTGGCGAGGTTGGTCTCGAACTCCTGACCGCAAGTGATCCGCCTGCTTTGGCATTCCAAAGTGCTGGGATTACAGGCATAAGCCACTGTGCCTGGTCTATGTAGAGTATTTTCACTGCCTTAAAAATCTTCTGTACTCCAGTTCTTCATCCCTCTATCCCTCACCCAACCCGACAACTGCTGATCTTTTTATTGTCTGCATGGTTTTGCCTTTTCCAGAATATCACATGACTGAAATCATAGAGTACGCAGCTTTTTCAGATTGGCTTCATTTACTTAGTAACATGCATTTAAGGTAACTCTGTCTTTTCATGACTTGGTAGCTCATTCCTTTTTAACACCAAATAATATTCCCTTGTATGGACTTCCTCCAAGTTTGCAGTGGAGGAAGTCCCAGGGGGTCACAGGGCCACTTATGGATTCTCTTGGTTCCGTAAGAGGCTTTGCAGACTGTCAAGAGGCTTTGCAGGCCAGTTTATTTATCCAGTCACCTACTGAGGTGCGTCTCGGTTGCTTCTAAGTTTTGGTAATTATCAATAAAGCTCTATCAGCATCCATGCAGATCTATTTGTTGACATAAATTTTCAACTTATTTGAGAGTTATTTTTAATAGGTACACATTCTCATTTTACAGGATGAAAACAGTTCTGTGGATGGATGATGGCGATGGGAGCATGATAGTGTGAATGTGCTTAATGCCACTGCACTGTACATTTTTAAATGGTTAAGATGGTAAGCTTTATGTTATGTGCATTTTACCACAATTTTTTTTTAGACGAGAATACATTCCAAAATCTACTAACTTGGTTTCTTGGTAAATTACCTTCAGTAATGTTCCAACATTACTAGGAATCAAAACCTTAAAATAGGCATATCTTTTGATCCAGTAATTCCATTTCTAGAAATGTATTCTAAAAAAATCAGACATGGCAATAATATTGTGAATACGCACACATTTTGCCAAGCACGGTGGTTCATGCCTGTAATTCCAGCACTTTGGGAGGCCAAGGCAGGGGGATCATCTGAGGTCAGGAGTTCGAGACCAGCCTGACCAACATGGTGAAACCCCATCTCTATTAAAAATACAAAATTAGCCGGGTGTGGTGGTGTATGCCTTTAATCCCAACTACTCGGGAGGCTGAGGCAGGAGAGTTGCTTGAATCTGGGATGCTGAGCTTGCAGTGAGCCGAGATCGTACCATTGCACTCCAGCCTGGGTGACAGAATGAAACTCTGTCTCAAAATAAATAAATAAATAAAAACACACCTTTACTACCTAATATTTTTACATAATGAAAAATGGAAAACCACTTAACTGTCCCAAAATAGGCAATTCATTAAATATTTCTTTGTATATCACCATACAATGTAACTATTTTAAAAATTATGGCAGGCATGGTGGCTCACGCCTGTAATCCCAGAGGCCCAGGTGAGCGGATTGCTTGAGCCTCAAAGTTCAAGACCAGTCTGGGCAACATGGTGAAACCCCATCTCTACTAAAAATACAAATTAGCCAGCATAGTGGCACCGGCCTGTGGTCCCAGCTACTCAGGAGGCTGCAGTGGGAGGATCCCTTGACGAGGGGATGTTGAGGCTGCAGTGAGTCAAGATGGTGCCACTGCACTCCAGCCTGGGCGACAAGACAATAGCAATCACAGTAATAATAATGATCTAGTTGGCCGGGCGCGGTGGCTCAAGCCTGTAATCCCAGCACTTTGGGAGGCCGAGACGGGCGGATCACGAGGTCAGCAGATCGAGACCATCCTGGCTAACACGGTGAAACCCCGTCTCTACTAAAAAATACAAAAAACTAGCCGGGCGAGGTAGCAGGTGCCTGTAGTCCCAGCTACTCGGGAGGCTGAGGCAGGAGAATGGCGTAAACCCGGTAGGCGGAGCTTGCAGTGAGCTGAGATCCGTCCACTGCACTCCAGCCTGGGCGACGGAGCAAGACTCCGTCTCAAAAAAAAAAAAAAAAAAAAAAAACCACAAAAATAATGATCTAGTTGTGTGATTTTCATTAAATTTCATTCCAGTATTTTGTTATGTTGAAAAAAGCAGATCAAAAAACAGTGCAGACAACGTGTGTGTGTGTGTGTGTGTGTGTGTGTGTGCAAGGCTTTTCAAGTGATTTATCTAGAGAACTATCTGACAAGCATCCGAGATCATGTTAAAACCCTACCCAGCTGAACCTTGGGGAACCTGCATAACCTTTGATTCACACAAAAAACCACATCTATTACTTGTTGAGTGCTGATTCTGGCTCAGGCTCTTTATGTACATAGTCCATTTAATCCTCACAGCAGCCCTTCGTGGTAGGCACATTTATTATTCTTGTTTATAGATAAGAACTCAGGGAAGTTGAGTGCCTGGTTCAGGCTCACAGCCAGGCAGCAGCAGGATGGGGAAACTGGAGGCCAGGCTGTCTAATTCCATACCCGCAGCAGCAGACTGCTGTCCCACAAAACCCTCTCTACACACAGGCCTGGGTCAGGACAGTATTGCAGGTTCAAGGAATTGAGGAGCTGATCAAGAGGAAAAAATATGACCACAAAGTGACAGTAGCACACACATGCTTTATTTGGGAGATGCTCTAAGAAGGCTGCCCGCAGAGGAATCCCCTCAGGCATGAGCCTGTCAAAACACCGTACTAAAAGAGAGGAAGGCAAGGGAGCTCTTGGGGACAGGATGTGAGAGATGGGGGAGCTCCTGGGTACAGGGTGTGAGAGACGGGGCTTGCACATCTAGGCGATGTCACACAACAGCCCGGTAGGGAGGATCTGGGTCAGAGCTCCCAAGGGCATCAGTGGCTGGGGGTCCCCATAGCCTCAAAGTTCATCTTATCCATGGCTAATAGATGGTGGATATGGTTTTGTGGAGTAGGCAAAGCAGGTGACCTGTAAATGACTAAAAATATGCTTATCTGGGCTACATTTAAAACAGCTGGATGTGTAAAATTTGAGGTCGATGAATGGATCTCAGCCTATTGTTAATCAATAAAAACACTAGTGGCCAATATACCCAGGGCAACTTTGGTTTATATAACATCTTTGACTGATGTAACAGACTAGCCAGTTGAGGGCTGCATCAATCATGGGTCCCTGAAATGGGGATACATACAGCCAGCTGGAGGAGCCAGGCAGTGTCAGGAGAATGGTGGATACCCTTCCCCTCACCAACAGGGAGTGTGGCTGCAGTTGAGGGCAAGGAATGTCCTCCCTGTGGGGCAGGGACAATGTTGTTTTCAGGTGTTTTTCTTTTTTACTGTGATTATATATGTATATAATTTGGTATATATGTGGTATATATTTTATATATATATATTTTATATATAGATGCACCATAAAATTTATCATAGTAATAATTTTTAAGTGTACAATCAGTGACGTTAATTACATTAACGATGTTGTGGTACCATCATCTCTATCCATTTCCAGAACACTTTCATCATTCCAGACCAAAATTCTGTACCCATTAAACAATAACTGCCAACTTGCCCCTTCTCCAGCCCCTGGTAACTGTGATCTGTTTTTTTCTCTCTATGAATTTGTCAATTGTAGGTACTTCATATAAATGCAGACATACAGTATTTGTCCTTTTGTGACAGGCTTATTTCACTTAGCATATTGTTTTCAACTTTCTTTCTTTTTTTTTTTTTTTTTGAGACGGAGTCTTGCTCTGTCGCCCAGGCTGGAGTGCAGTGAACGGATCTCAGCTCACTGCAAGCTCCTCCTCTTGGGTTCACGCCATTCTCCTGCCTCAGCCTCCCCAGTAGCTGGGAATACAGGCACCCGTCACTTCGCCCGGCTAGTTTTTTGTATTTTTTAGTAGAGACGGGGTTTCACCGTGTTAGCCAGGATGGTCTCGATCTCCTGACCTCATGATCCGCCCGTCTCGGCCTCCCAAAGTGCTGGGATTACAGGCTTGAGCCACCGCGCCCGGCCTGTTTTCAACTTTCATCCATATTGCAGCATGTGTCAGAATTTCATTCCCTTTTATTGTTGAATAATATTTCTTTTTATGTACATACCATATTTTGTTTATCTATTCATCTGTTGATCAAAGTTTGGGTTTTTTCCATCTTTTGGCTATCGTGAATGAAGCTGCAGTGAACATTGGCATACAAGTATCTATTTGAATCGTTGCTTTCAAATCTTTTGGGAATATATCTAGAAGATGAAATTACCGGATCATATGATAATTCTATGTTTAACTTTTTGAGGAATCACCAAACTGTTTCCTGCAGCAGCTGCACCATTTTACATCCCAATCAGCAATGTTGACTGTTCAAATTTCTCCACCTCCTCATTCTCACTTGTTATTTTTTGGTTTTGTTTGTTTGTTTTGATAATAGCCACCCTAATGGGTATGAAGTGGTATCTCATTGTGGTTTTGATTTGCATTTTCCTAATCACAAATGATGATGAACACTTTTTCATATGCTAATTGACCATCTGTATTTCTTTGGAGAAACGTCTATTCAACTCCAAATTTTGATGAAATTGTTTTTTGTTGATAAGTTATAGGAGCTCTTTATATATTCTGGATATTAATCCTTTATCAGGTATATACTTTGCAAAATTTTTCCCATGCCATAAATTGCCTTTTCACTCTTTTGATTGTGTCCTTTGATGCATAAGTTTTTAATTTTGATGAAGGCCGATTTATCTCTTCTTTTGTTGCTTATCCTTTTAGTGCCATGGCCAAGAAATCACTGTCAAATCCCATGTCTTGAAGCTTTTTCTCTATGGTTTCTCCTAAGAATTTCGTGGTTTTTAGCTCTTATGCATAGATCTTTGATATATTTTGAGTTAATTTTTGCATATACTAGTAGATAAGTGTCCAACTTCATTCTTTTGCATGTGGATATCTGGCTTTTCTAGTACCATTTGTTGAAAAGACTGTCCTTTCCCCAACTGAATGGTCTTTTCACCCTGCTCAAAACCATGTATGTGAGAGTTTATTTCTGGAATCTGTATTCTATTCCTTTGGTCCATATGTCTGCCTCATGCCAGCACCATATTGTTTTGACTACTAAAGACTTGTAGTAAACTTCAAAATCAGGAAATGTGAGCACTCTAACTTTGCTCTGCTTTTTTCAAGATTGTTGTGGCTATTTGGGTTTCCTTACATTCCCATATGAATTTTAGAATGGGTTTTATTATTTCTACAAAAGAAAATGCCTTTGTATTTTGATAGGGACTGAACTGAATCTATATATCACTTTGGGTATATTTTCATCTTGGCAATGATCTTCCGATCTATGTCCATGTATTTTTGTCTTCTTTAATTTGTTTTAGCAATGTTTTGTAGTTTTCAGTGTACAAGTCTTTCAATTCCTGGGTTAAATTTATTCCTAAGTATTGTATTCTTTTTTATGCCATTCTAAGTGGAATTGTCTTCTTAATTTCCTTTACAGATTGTTTATTGTTAATGTAGATAAATGCAGATGATTTACTGTGTATCAATTTTGTATCTTTCAACTTTGCTGAATTCATTTATTAGTTCTAATAGTTTTTTCATGGAATTTTTTTTTTTTGAGACAGAGTCTAGCTCTGTCGCCCAGGCTGGAGTGTTGCAGCGCAATCTCCGCTCATTGCAAGCTCCGCCTCCCGGGTTCATGCCATTCTCCTGCATCAGCCTCCCGAGTAGCTGGGACTACAGGTGCCCACCACCACACTCGGCTAATTTTTTTGTATATTTTAGTAGAGACGGGGTTTCACTGTGTTAGCCAGG